ATATATATATATATTGTATAATATATAATATCACTATATCTAAAATATAATATATATATATATATAATCTATAATCTATAATACATAATATATAATATATGATACATAACATAGCATAACATAACATAACATAACATAACATAACATAACATAACATAACATAACATAACATAACATAATATAATATAGTATAATATAATCAAGCAAAGCCAACCCTTTGAGCTCCGAGGCTCCAGATCTGCCACAGGGAACCCTACTACAGGCGTCCGGAGCCACAGCATCGCGCCCCGCCTCGCCCTTGCCCAAGGTGCTCTCCTCGTCGGCCAGGAGACATCGGGTTCCATAGGTATCTTACTCATGCATGCTATGCAGCTTGTAGTGTCCTAGATTGTGGAACAGAATGGGCATGTTGTAGTATATCTGGCCGTACGTATGTGCGCATGTAAGCTATTGCCCAGCATACTATACGAGTACATACTATACATCAGCAGGATCTTGTAGTGGAGGTTAGTCACGTTCAGTACTCGTCCAGGGCCGAGGCGTGAGGAGTTTGAAGCTGCAGGCCGGCAGCTCCCGAAGTACTGCTTTGCAAGGAGTAACAATACAACACATTACGTATACTAATATGTGTGTGTTTGTAAATATACATACATATATACATATATATATATGTATATATATATATATGTATATATATATATATACATATATTCGGAAGTTCGGGTTTGGGCTTAGGTTTTAGTCAAGGGTTTAGGGTTCAGAGCTTGGGGTTAAGGGTTTAGGGTTTAAGGGGTTTAGGGTTTACGGCAAAGGGTTTAGGGTTAAAGGGTTTAGGGTTGAAGAAGCTCTAACTCTAACTGGAAACGGGCCGTGATCCCAAAAACTTCGGAAGTCGAGTTCGCTCCTGGATCTTGATCTTCTCGTAGATCAGCGAGAGCTCCTCGTTTCGTCGGATGAGCTGCTTGCCCAGGATGTTGCGCTCGGAGGTAACAGCCTGTTGGGCCCAGTCGGTGCGGTTCCTACTGTGTGTAAGGGATATGCTACCATAAAGACTTCATAATCGCCACATGCTTAACGTTGCAATATGCCACACTATGCAATACAATTCTTAACAACAGAACATTACGGAAACTACACGACTAGGCCTGGGGCTGCCCCTCACAGCCTGCTTACCTATTGGGTCACGAGCTCGATAAACAACCCACTGTACTTAATCATCGTGCGTGTATCTCTACGTTTGTGTCTTGTGCTTGAAACCATGTCTCGAATGACTCATCCTTGAGCTGCGAACTATTCAAGGGTTTCGCTTCCATCTGCGATTGTAGCCCACAGAAACCACATCCACTCAGCACAGACAGATACTTGTGTGACCGATCAACCCCGTTGCAATAGCCTCGGACAACATCCAGGCCTCAAACTCCTTTCGCTGGTGCTGCCGCTCCGTCTCAGCCTCCTGGATGGTGGCCTCTCAAAACAGCCACGATGATGACTCTGCTGATGATGGCAATAGTGATGGGATGTCACTGGTGGTGCTGATGATGATGATGATGATGATGATGATGAAAATGAAGATGAAGATGAAGATGAAGATGAAGATGAAGATGAAGATGAAGACGAAGACGAAGATGATGATGATGATGATGATGAAGAAGATGATAATGGTGATGATGATGATGATGATGATCATGATGATGATGGTGACGATGACGATGACGGCAGGAGGAGGAGGCGGAGGAGGAGGAGGGCGAGGAGGATGAGGATGAGGTGAGCATGAGGATGATGATAAGAAGGAGGAGGAGGGGCGAAGCTGCCACATGTCCAGAAAGTGCACAACTTGACTCCGGCCTTTGCCGCGTGGAGCACTTCTACCGGAACCGGAACCCGCAACACCTGCCTCTAGCTTTTTGATGTCGGACAGCTGCTGCTCCACGACCTGCGCACGCAGTACAGCCGAAGGCCCACTCAAGGCCCACTGATGCGCCTAGGCTCTCCATCGAGCTGAGACATTCCATAGCCCCCAATTCTAAAGGCCCTTGAGCCTCTTCGTGGTATGGTTTAGGATTTGGGCCTAGGGGCTTTGGGGACTTTGGGATTTCAGGCACTGCAGGCCAAGGCCTGCTGGGACTTGGTCTGCTGCTTCTCATGGAACTCCAGCGTGTGCTTGGTCTTCTCCGTCTCCTGTGAGACTTATCGCGTCAAGGCCGGTGCTGAAGTTCCCGGCCCTGGGCACCGGAATTAGGAGTTGTGGGCGAGAATCGAGGCACCGGTTTCAAGGTCTCCTTGCTGATGTTCTGGTGCTTGAAGTGCTCTGCGATCATGGCCACATCCTCTGCCCAGCTTCGGGCTTGGCAGTGACTGGCTGAAGGATAGCTATTAAATCGGTCTCTGTTAACTGCCAATATACGGTCTCTGTTACCTGCCAACAGCGGATCTTGCGCTTATCGGTCTTTCCGTCCCATCTCTTTGCGGCTTCGATGGGCAAACTGTATGCATGTGAACGGCTCCCACGCAGTGGTTTTGAAAAGGGTTCGCGCTTCTGCCGACACCGCTACTTCGGGCACTTTCCCTGGCAGCTTGTGGGGGAGAAATGCCGCTGTGGAGGGAACGACTGCGAGCCTTCTCTTTGATCTCCTCCTTGAGCTGCTCGATCTGGTGGCACATGACCTCCACGGCCCAGTGAAATGTTCCATGATTCATGAAGGAACCGGATTATTGGGGCAGTCTCTGGGCCCCTTGAGGTCTTGAGGTATGCCCGGGCCTTGAACTTCTTCCTCATCTCGCTGATTTCTTCGAGGGACTCCACTAAATTCTTTGAGTAGAGGTTCTTGTCCGTGCGCACCGCCTGCCAGGCCCATAAAAAAGGAGCAGCTTAGAATCCATCTTGAAAGGAATGGTCGCGCAGCGTCCTCGTAGAGATTCTTTTGCTGCGCCCACTTGGCCCGGACATCAGCAATGGATCGCTTGAGCTGCGCCATCTGGACCTCACGGCCTGCAGCGGAAGATCTTGCGTCGGAAAGCGGATCCGAAGCTGAAGACCAAAGTTGCAACTTCTGTCCTCGAACTGTGGCCCAGCCGGCTTGAAACTTGAGACAAAGCTTCGAAACCGGAGATGCAAGAACCCTAAACCCTAAACCCCTGCACCTCGAAACCCTAAACCCCTACACCCGTAAACCCCTAAACCCCTAAAACCCTAAACCCTAAACCCCTAAACCCCTAAACCCCTGACCCCTAAACCCCTAAAACCCTAAA